GAATGCCATGCAAACCAGGTAGCAATTATCGGCGGAAGTCAGCTGTGGTAAGGTGCCGCCGTGGAAGGCTCAGTGTCCCGGCCTCGATTCCTCTGCAGAGACCACGTGACCACAAGCCTGACCCCGACCCGACCAACGGTTGCCCCGCCAACGGCCAGAATGGCAGTTAAACAAGGAGAGCCCATCCATCTGAGACGATCCATTTAACTTATTAACAAAGAACATTTTGGTCACCTTCAAAGCGAACTATATCTTCTCCACGCCCAAAGACCTAGCGTCTCCTATTTACTTTGTTCACACCTTTGGGACAATCTATCACACATATCAGGCACAATGCCTGGGGCGACGGCCATCGAAGTGCCCGCCGTGGCCATGTCTTGTGCGTATCCACCAGCTGCATTTGCGACTCACGAAGTGTAAATCAAAGAAGCTAACAAGCGACTACACATAGTTGCCAACAATTTTTGGGGGAAGGACGATGCCGGAGTTGGTCCTCTCCTAGAACGAATGCACGGCGCAAAACAAACATGCGACGAGCTCAAGGCGTTTTATAGTAGTGAGTACACCCACCCCCTCCGCCGTCTCGAAAATATCATTCGAATGGTTACTAAACAATAAATCCACTAGCACGGGCGTCGATCGAGGAAGAATATGCTAGGAAACTGCTCAACCTCACTCGTAAAGCCCTTGGTTCCCAGGAAGCGGGGACGTTGAAGAACTCGTTAGACACAGTGAGGGGCGAGGTCGAGTCGATGGCGAAGCAACACCAGAATATTGCTGCTCAGATGAAAAGCGAGTTAGAAGAGCCGCTGGCCGCTTTCGCTGGGGGTATGAAGGAGCGTCGTAAGATTGTCCAAAACACAGTTGAGAAGCTTCTGAAAACGAAGGTACAACAAACACAACATGTCAACAAGGTACGTTGCTAGGCCATCCCAGAATTAAACACGATGCTGACGTATGAAGACTCGGGACAAGTATGAGCAAGAGTGTTTGAAGATCAAAGGATATCTGGCTCAGGGACACATGGTCATGGGGCAGGAAGAGCGCCGTAACAAGGCGAAGCTGGAGAAGACACAGATTAGTGTTGCTACATCTAACACTGAGTATGAAGCTGCGGTGAAGGTGCTTGAGGAGACTACAACAAGGTGGAACAGAGAATGGAAAGCTGCTGCCGACAAATTCCAAGACCTCGAGGAAGAGCGTCTTGACTTCACAAAGAGCAGCCTTTGGACTTTCGCCAACATTTCATCAACCGTCTGTGTCAGCGATGATGCCTCCTGCGAGAAGGTCCGGCTCTCGTTGGAGAAAATGGAGGTTGAGAAGGACATCATCAGCTTCATCACTGAAAGGGGAACGGGACAGGAGATCCCAGATGCACCAAAATACATCAATTTTTGCCGCGGGGATGTCACCGATTCCCAATCTGAGACTTCGGAGGATGACCGATTCTCAGTGGCTCAGTTTCCCAGGAGTATCAACCCAGCCTTCAGGTCTTCATCTCCACAACCCTCAACTTTCGAGTCTCACCACGACCCGGATTCAGCCTTGGCGAACAATTTAGCGCACAGAGATGTAGGATCTGCAAACAGCCGGGAATCACTCACGAAGCCCCAGAGACAGGTCCCTGGAAGGCAGTCAATGGAAGAGGTATATCGACAACAGCAACCAGTTTCGCACCGGCCTCCCCCTTCAGTTAGGCAGTCAACTGAAGAGACATACGAACAGCAAAAGGTACAAGCATCTCACAGACGGCCTCCGCCAACAAGGCAGCCCGTAGAGGAACCATATCATCAGCGACAGTTGTCATTGTCATATCAAAGACAGCCACAGCAAGGACGACAGTCAATGGAAGAGACATATCAGCATCAAGTGTCGGCACCGCAACAACGACAGGCTCCACCTGCACGACAGTCAATGGATGAGACATACGAGCATCAGTTGTCGGCTTCACAGCAGAGGCACGCCGCACCACCGCGCCAGTCGATGGAAGAGACATACCGACACCAGGTGTCAGTACCGCAACAGCGACAGCCCCATCCCGGGCGACAGTCAATGGAAGAGACATACGAGCATCAGTTGTCGGCTTCACAGCAGAGGCACGCCGCACCGCCACGCCAGTCGATGGAAGAGACATACCAACAGCAGATGTCAACTTCGCAACGACAGCCTGCAATTGGACGACAGTCGATGGAGGAGACTTATCAACAGGCACAGCAAGTTTCATACGATGTTAATGAGCACGGTCCAGTGGCGGAAGTGCCACATGATCCATACCCTATGGATGGAATGACAATGTTGTGCCGAACTGGACCACCCTCAGATCTCAGCTCGCAGGTAACCTCGAACAGGCCGTCCAGCAAGGATGAAGCTAGTGACTATGCAACATCGTTCTCCAGTGTCGAGCCACCGAGTGGGAAAACCTCACCAACGAAGCAGGAACCACCTCCAGAGGCAAGCCCCCAGAAGGGGATATTCAAGAAGAAGAGTGGCTTCTTCCAGAATCATAGTCCTTTCAGGAGGAAGAGTGTCAAGGAGGCTCAAAATCCTGTCCAGTCGAATCGCAACACATGGCACGCTTCCAGCTTCCAGAAGAATGCGAGCCCCCGCCGACCCCAGTTGTTCAGCAGAGACTCAACCCAATCCAAGAATCTTCTCCAGGACCGTACGGCGAGCCCTGAGCCCATTGATGCTAACGCAAGCGTTGCGCTGGGCGTAGGACAAAATGTTCTGCCCGTTACCCGGCCGGAGACCAATAAGCGGCGTGAAACAGAGCCTCCAAAACCCGAGGTTGACGAGAATGATCCGATTGCAATGGCCCTGGCCGAACTTAAAGGTGTGACGCTTGGGAAACAGTCTTCAGTGCGCATGTCGGCTGATCATTACCATGGAATTGCTACTCCTGCTCCTGGACCCAATGCTTCAATGTCCCACTCTGTGCCCGCTCCTGGTAGTCGGGACGCAGCTGCAGTTAGTCGTGGCACACCACCACCTTCATACCAGCCAGGCCAGACCCAGCCCACGAGAGCCCAACCTGCACCGGCTCAGCCTGTAAAGGCTCAACCCGCTCGAGCTCAGCCTGCACCGGCCCCATCTGTTCGGGCTCAACCCACAGCAGCTCCATCTGCTCGGGCTCAGCCTACACCAGCGCCATCTGTTCGAGCTCAGCCTGCACCAGCGCCATCTGTTCGGGCTCAACCTGCACCAGCGCCATCTGTTCGGGCCCAACCTGCACCAGCGCCATCTGTTCGGGCCCAGCCTACGCAGACGCAGGCAGCTCCTCCGTCAAGGTTGGGCGTACCTCCACCTGCAGTCACTTCCAAGGCTATGAGGGCAGCGACACAGAAGGCAACAACTCAGACCCGAAGTGTATTTTCTGAAGGAAGAGCCGATCCTGGAGCTGCCAGCACTTCGCCTGTGTCTCGTCCTGGGACTCGCGGAACTGATGTCCCAAGAGCAGTTTCGCCCGTTCCAGCTCGCAGTGCATCACCCCAACCACAAATGGCTAATAACACCAGCAGTCGTCGGATGGATCATCGATCCGTATCTCCCAACCCACATGAATATCATCAATATCATCCTCCACAGCAGCAGCAACGGAGAGACTCCTCGTATGGTATCCCTGCCAGTCCAAGGGGACGCCCATCAGAGCAATACCACCGGCAAGCCTCTCCTCATGGCTCAATGAGAGGTTCTGTCCGAGGAGCGTCTCCGGCCCCTCAAAGAGAATATCAAAGGCCGGTGAGTAGCTATGCAGGAAGTGACATGGCTGTACAGCTGGCTCCTGCAGGTGATGACCCATATGGCTCTCAACGAAGTCGTGGCTCTAGCAGACCATCGTCTCGGGCAATGGGGCTTTACAACGGCGATACTAGACAACGGAGCAAGAGTGTAGCAGACCCCTCGAGACTCTATACGCCTGATGGTCGACCGATTTTGCACTATGGTAAGTTTCCCTCCATGTGACTGCATTTTACAGAGTCTTTGTAGCTAATATGTGTATCTATTTTTTCAGCTCGCGCCATGTACATGTACCAGGCGGCTATTCCCGAGGAACTGGGATTTGCTAAGGGCGATTATCTCGCCGTTCTCCGTCACCAAGATGACGGATGGTGGGAGGCTGAAGTCCATAACGGAAATGGTCGCATTGGGCTGGTCCCAAGCAACTACCTCCAGCCATGCTAGGATACACGACTCTGTTGATGAGAAACGAGGCAGCTGGAAACATGACCAGCGGAACAGTAGGTTCTTGAACATATATATGAAACGCAGTGAGGATATTCTTGATTTGCACATATCACGACTCGGATTTTAGCGTCACGATTTTTGTTAGTGTAGCCAAACCAGATTGTAGGAATTTGGGATTGTTATTAGTGTATTTTTCTCTTCTTCATGGCCAATGGCAGTAATATTGAATTTGATCTTTTTCATATGCATATGTGGCGCTACCGTATTTGCGAATGTACTGACTCTATGTATGGTGCTCGTGTCAGGGTCGAATACCCGAAGCGAAGAGCATACGCTATACGGCCATCCCGGCAACTGACGTAAAGTGGCGGCGTTGGCGGCACGTGACCCCTGCGGTCGTGAACTTTGCCTGAACTCTGGCTGTGTCGCCCAACTCTGATGATTAGCAATGCTGGGCTGCGCCCCTTTTATGTCATCACCCTGCTTGCGTATCCACCCATCATATTCCAACCACTCCACTCGCAGTAGGTGCATGAGCTTCAATACACCTCTTACCTGATCCCGCCCCATATCTGCCTGAGAAGCCTATCTCTGCGTCAATCGGGACATCGTGTACTGAGCTCTGGATTCCAGACAATCGCGCCAGACCTGCCACCCTCTCGCCCAAATTACATCGTTCCAGAGTCGGGGTGTGACCTTCTGTTACCAATAATTGGCATTGCGCACGACGTTCATCTACCTCCTGGTAGTGTGTGCGCCACTCCCCAGTCATCAGTCGACCCGAACCGCCGCAGAAGCAAAGCCTTCCCTGGCTTCTAGACCTCGACGGAAGCCGCATCGCCATCCCCCTAACACACCTGCGGACCGACCCCATCGGTTGTGAGACGTTGTCCGTTTGGGATTTCGCGCAAGGAGCCGGCAACGCCCAAGCAGCGGACCTGAGGCTTTCGGAAGGCGTGAACCTGCTCACCTACGTCATCCTCTGTATCGCTCTCAGCCACCGATAGCGCTTCGGCTGCGGGTTGATCGATTTCCCAGTTTGACATTTGGTATATTCGAGTCTGCTTCTCAGTCAAGGAGCACCTTGTACATCGCCCATCATGTCGAAGGTAATGCGAAGTGTGAGAAACGTCACCAAGGGTTACTCCGGCACCCAGATCAAGGTCAGAGAAGGTTCGCGCAACATCTTCGAACAAAAACTCTCAATGCTCAGGGCTAACTCGGAAGTTGACAGCCACAAGCAATGACCCGTGGGGCCCGACCGGGACACAGATGAGCGAAATCGCTCAGATGACCTTCAACACGTACGCGTTCGCCAATCCCTGTGGATTGTATTTGCAGAAGCTGACGAAGAGGATATTAGATCGAGCGACTTCTATGATATCATGGACATGATCAACAAGAGACTTAATGACAAAGGCAGGAACTGGCGACATGTGCTCAAAGCCTTAAAGGTGCTGGATTACTGTTTGCATGAGGGATCGGAGCTTGTGGTCACTTGGGCGAGGAAGAGTATCTACATCATTAAAACTCTCCGCGAGTTTCAATATGTCGACGATGAAGGCCGCGATGTTGGACAGAATGGTACGATGCACCTCGGCTCGTGGATTTGAAAGCTCTAACTAACTTGACAAACTAGTGCGAGTCGCAGCAAAGGAGTTGACTTCGCTCATTCTCGACGAAGAGCGCTTGCGTGCGGAGCGCAGCGACCGGAAGTCTTGGAAGTCCCGGGTTACAGGCTTGGAAGAGTACGGCCCTCCACCTGGCGAAGCCTCATCCGAACGCGTGCCCGAGCGACGGCCCCATAGAGAAAGAGGAGCAAACACCACTGAGGATGACGATGCCGAATATCGTCTGGCGCTCGAGGCCAGCAAATATCAGGAGGAGGAAGATCGCAAGAAGAGGGAACTTCGACAGAGCACAGGCGGCGGGGACGACGACGATTTTGCCAAGGCTATCAAGTTGAGCAAGGAAGAAGAGGAGCGTCGACGACGCGAGCTAGAACAAAGCAATGCCGCATCGCTTTTCGACGACTCCCCCACTCAGCCTACACAGTCCCAGCCAACTGGTTTCAACAATGGATATCAGCAGGGAAATCAAGTGGACTGGTTCGCAAACCAGATTGACCAGAACCAAGTCCCGAATCAGCAGACCGGCTACATGGCAAATGCTTATACGGGCTTCCAACAAACCCAGCCAACTGGGTTCCAAAACAATTACGGCACTGGCTTTGCGGGCCAACCTACGGGGATGGATCTCTATGCTCAGCAACAGCAGCAGCAGAATCTGGCAGCATTCCAACCACAACCCACTGGTTTCAACTCTTTCGCCCAGCAACCGCAATTACAAATGACACAACAGATTCCCTCGCCTGTATCAGACGGCCCCGGCTTGCAACCAGGCAGCAATAACCCCTGGGCCACAAACAGCCCACAGCCAGCCCTGGCACCCACGCCTACTGGATCAAACAATCCTTTTGCACAGTTTAGCAACAACCGGCCTTCATCTGCAAAGCCTACACTGAACAGTCTCGGTGCTGTCCCAGAACAAAAGACACTTTCTAGTTTCAACCCTATCCAGTCGCATCAGTCACCACAACTAGGTGGCTTGGGTCAACCCCAGCAACAACCATTTGCTGCACCTCAAAGGGAGTTGAACGAGCATGAGGCTAGACTGAACGATCTACTCGCTTCAACGGATGGTATGGATACATTTGGAAACACCGGAAACCTACGTATTCCTGCTCAACACACCGCTCCTGGCATGTTTGTCAACAGCGCAGGCTCCGGCGTTGCCCGTATCAACGCCGAAGCAACTGGAAACAACCCATTCTTTCGGCCACAGTTTACAGGCATGCCCGCCGTTTCATATGGTCAGTCACCTGGTGGTATGAATGGTCAGCCAAACAACAATCCGTTCGGCCAACAGCAACAACAGCAGCAACAGCATGCTGGTCAAAACGACAACTTAATTCAACTGTAATTGAAGACTATCGACCACCTTGATTCTATCCTAGGGCTTCGGCCCATTTGGCTCGCTTCCGCTTAATGTTTCCTTGATCCATTCACCTCGCCTACACTTTTCGTCGCCCTAACTATATCGAACCGAAATTGGACTCTTTTTCCTTGATGTGTGGTTCGCCTTGCTATGCTTCTTTCTCAATGTCGTGGGAGGTTTGGCTGGTGTGTAACTGGAAGTTTGTTCACACATGGTCTGAATTACAAAGTCCTAGATAGCGCGCCTTCACATCCAAAATTTAGAGATTTGATTCAAATTTATGAGTACCCTAATAATTCCTCCTCATCCATTTGATTTCGTGCAATGGTATACCAAGTAGGCGACTTATATTCCAGCATATAGAAACCAGCGCCATCGAATCACATACTCGCAGCCTTCGGCCCAAGTACCAGAATTTGCTCTAATACTTCGAGCCGAGATCGTGACGGCTTTCATGAGCACAAGCCAGCTGTGCATCATTGTAAAATAGGCTCAGCAACAGTATGAACCGTCCTAGGGTACTTTTAAAGCGAGACAATTGATCAACCTTCGATAGAGACGAAAGTTTGGGTCTGTCAGCTGAGGACGCTTGTTGGAGCTCTCCGGTCTCCACGCCGCAATCAGTGGCATATTCAGTTTTCTCCAGGCGATTGACTAGCCAGCTTCTTCCATCATCTGAATAAACTCTTCCAGATTAACGCCATTTTTGCCATCGTGATCTAGATGATCAATCATGGTCTGGATTTCCTCCTCTGTCATGGTTCTCTCCTCTTTGATGTCCTGCGCAAGATGGCGCATGTCCTCGAATGATATGATGCCGTCCTGATCATAATCGAACATGTTGAAAACCTTAGTTGCTTCTTCACGTGGGTCGCGGTTCGCAATAAGCTTTGCTGTGCAAAGTCGGAAGGGATCCAAGTACATGTACAGCCGGTTGACGGGGCAGTTGTGCGGCTCGGGCCAGTCCGGGGGTACCGTGCCATATACTTCGAGCTCTCTCACATACTCAGGTTTGGGCATGTCGAAGCCGAGTGCTGCTAGCGAATGACGGAACTCGTAGCTGTTTAGCCAGCCTTTCTTCTTCATGTCCATCAACCCGAACTAGAGGACTGGGTCAGTTTACAAGGTTGGCCTCGGCAGGCATTCTATAGGGCTGTCTCGTACCACTTCATCAATGTGTTCGCGGTCTTCTTCTGGGATTGAGTTGTAGTCCTCGTTGTTCAGTACTTGGGGGGCTGCTGGCTGTTTTTGCTGTGAGGCTTGGCCCTGTCCACCGGGTCCAGACCGGATTGGAAAGGGGCGCGGGGTCGAATGGATGTTCATCTTGACGTTGACGGAGATGATGGAAAGCTGTGATGGTTCAGAATTAGTTGTAAGGTGTTTGGAGTTGGTCTCCTCAAGCTGGGAGCGGTTTCGCGCTGGGTGGGTGAGTGGGGAATGGTGAAGCAATAGACGATTGTCGTCATGGAACAATAAGCAAAACTGCAATGTGAATACAAAAACCAATGGCACAATGCTGGACGCAGCAGGGGCAGGGAATGAATAGACGCCAGGCCAAAACAGATGCTGTGTGTGGCAGATGCAATGATATATACAGCTTAATTGGCTGCGGTGGATGCGATGCGATGCGATGCGACGCGCCCAGCTAAGTCTCCCTGGGCTGAGACGCGGCTTGAGCTGGGCCTAGCCATCCCCAGTTGGTACTACTGGGCGTTCTTGACGAGAGCCTAGGCCGGGCTCTTTGTTGTGGATTTCTAATGGGGGTGCGACTTTTGCACTAGCAATTCCAGGCAGAAAGCCAGGCAGCCAGAGATCAGGTCACAAGTACCTTGGGCTGCAGGGTGATTGGCTGGGCAGGTGCAGTGGTTAGTCAGCGCGACTGGCCCAAGGCTGTTTTTGATGGAAAAAAGCTTAACTCACCCTGAGCTCTTCTGTCTCTCGCCACGTCAAGCCAGCTGCTCTAGGTGAGCGAGCGATTGTGAGTAAGTTAAGGGCTCATCCAACCAGCCCTTATAAAAGCTCTGAGCTCTACCTAGCCCTTTTCTTTTGTGTTTCTATCATCACTCTCAACTTTCCCTTTGTGGCGCAAGCACACGGTCGTTCCTTCCTCGACAAAGGGTGCCGCCTCGCACGCGCGCCTTAGCACTGCATCTCTCTCTCCATTGTTCCCCCACGGGCCAGGTGAGTGCAGTCCCGACAGCAAATCATCCTGCAATACAATTCTAGTTGGTTCTGGGTCCTAAACCAACGCTTCAGCAGGAGACTTCGAATTGACACCCACTGTCGCGTCCGACTTCTACTCAGATTTTTGGCGAACAACCCAACCTCAAGATTTCCCATCGACTCGAGACGTGCTTCTATTGCTTCGCCTCGTGCGACAAGCTCCGAAATCACAATGTCGTTCGGCTCAGGGTTCGGAGGCTTTGGCCAGAACAACAACACCAATAACCAAACGGCTGCCTTTGGTGGATTTGGCCAAGCAAACAACAATAACAACACAGGTTCAGGTAAGGCGACAGAATACACGCATTTGACGAGGATTGAGCTGACAGCAACTTCTAAAGCATTTGGAGCAACCAACACGGGCTTTGGGCAAAACAACAACTCGGGTAGTCTATTTGGCGCCACCAACAATAACGCAGCATCTACAACGTCTGGTTTCGGCTCCGGTACAGGTACAGCATACAAGGCCGTTCTGGCATCAAATTCCTTCCCATAGATGGCTAACTCTCTCACAGGTGGATTTGGAGCGAACAACAGCAGCAACACCTTTGGCGCCAAGACTGGGTTTGGCGCAGCCAATACTGGCGGTAGCCTCTTTGGTGGCGCCACCAACAACAACACAGCGAACACCACCAATACTGGAACGTTTGGTGGGTTTGGCAACGCGAACACCAACACCTCGTCGGGTTTTGGCGGTGCTGGTGCTGGTGGCAGTGGCGGGTTGTTCAGCAACAATGCTAACAAGCCAGCCTTCGGTGCTACTACAGGAACTGGTTCGCTGTTTGGTGGCAACAATACCGCCAACACGACGACTGGGTTTGGAACC